CCAGGCTGGACCCAGACTTCCTGTGCTGTAACGGCGCTTGAAAGACAGTGCACCTCGCATATGTGGTTTAACACTTCTAACTTAGAGCGTTAAGGTGATAATTAAGTGATCATTGCTTATCTAAGTGCAAGGCCTGTCCATATCATTAACTGGCTATAATGAAGCTGGATTAATTATCGCCTAGGCTATTAATTTTTGCCACACACTTGAACAGTAGTGAAATAAAACTTCCAAGAATGTTCTAAGCATCGCTGAAGGAAGAACCAAATAAGAAAACCACTTTCAGGAAGACAGGGTACCAACTTGTGGTGAAAGAGGGCTCTCCAAAGTCACGTGTCTGCGGAGGGCTGCTCCGGGGTCCCAGCTCCTGATGCAGAATCAAGTCTGGATGGTGCCTGGGTCCTCACGGCAGCGGCTGGGGCACAGTGGGAATGGTCAGTATTGCGGCTAACATTTTCCGGGCTTTCAAAGCACCCGTATCTAAGCGACAGTCAGTTGTCTGCAACGTGACAGTTGGGTTATCTGTTTTGCAGGTGGCTTTTACTTTATCAAGTGAATCAGATTCAATTAAACTTAAAGGAAGCTGAAGTTGGTCTTAAATGAGCCCCTGCACGTCACGGTACATTTAGATTTATCACCACTTCCCAAGCCTGTTTCTGTGCGGAGCACTGCAGTTACAGGACGGTGGCCTGGAGAAGATACTAGTCCCAGTTTAGGTTGGTGATCAAGGCTGTGTAGCTGGAGCCAACCTCACACCCCGCATCCCTCTTAAGTATCTGTCTGGGTGCACGACTTTGGCCACATGGTGGCGCTCCACGCCCAACAATTCCCGGTCCGCCGCTGGCTGAAAATAAAAGGCAAACCGAAGAGAGGAAGCGAGATCCGGGTAGTGTGGGCGCGAGTCCGCAGGGAGGCGATCTGGGTTCGTGAGTGGGGGGCCTCACTGTAAAAAGCCATCGTTCTCGCTGGTTTCCTGGGTCCCAAGCGAAGACTCTGATGTGAAATGAAAGGGCTAGGTGCTGAAACCCAAGCCTTGGTCCACATGCAAATCGAAACGCCCATCTTTCTTTGTTAGAAGAGGGAAACCGGACCAATAAGACCCGATAGCTGACTTTGCTAGAGAAGGGGACATCACCTGATTCCCTAAGCTTTTACTGCAAAAGAAAGGGGGGCAGTTCCAGCTTTGAGCCCCCGCTAGCGTGGCAGCCTCAAGAAAGCCTCTGACTTCTCTTCTACCCTGTTTTCATCTTTCGGGGTGTGTGTGTTAATTAGAGGACCAACTTTACAAGGTCGTTGTAGGGAGGAAAGGGAACTAGGCAGACCCGAAGGACGTTGCTCATATCCACTGGAGCAAACCCGGCAGTGTTGTGTGATTTATCCTAAACCAAGCCGAGTGCGCGGTGCCAGGTGCAGTGCGGGGGTGCAGAAAAAAAAAAAAAAACAAAAAAACCCCCAAAAAACCGATGATTTCCACAGCTGGTGTGGCCAGTCTAAAGCACCCTGTGACTGTGGGCATTTAAGGAAACAGACTGCTTGGTCTGCCGGTATTGGTTCCCCTGGGTTTTGAATGCTGAATTAATAACTTTGGAAATAGAACTGAAAGAAATTTGGAGCCCTTTGGTTTGTTGGTTTTCATTCATTTGTTTTGAGACAGGGTCTTCCTGACTTGAGTTCCCCATCCCCCTGCCTCAGCCAATCCTAGTGGCGAGATTACAAGCGCCATTCACACCAATCTTCTGACATAACAGTGTTCGGTTTTGAGACAGGTTCTTGTTCCATTGCCTGGTCTATTGTAAAACAATCTCCCAACTAACTAGGGCCACCAGCCAGCCCCACGGTGCCTGACTTGAAACTCTGGCTTTAACCCCAGATATACCTTCAGCCTAGGCATCCCCACCCAAGCCACCTTGAGGTGTTAGCCACGCCAGGGGAGATCAAGAAGCACACAAAGCTAGCCAAATGCACATGCAAAACACTCAACAAAACCAGCTGAGGGCGGGGTTTTTGAGCTGATCCTCGCCCCTGATACATACTTCTAATTTATATTGTTAAACAATAGCTAAAGTTTACTTGAGTGTGTGGTATCTTGCCTTTCCCCGCTGTCCTATGAACAATGAAAGTTTCTCCTTGCACAGAACAGTAAGATTGTCGTGCTGGGTCAGCGTTCATCTTACCAGAAGTGCACCTGACGAAGCTGTGTTTATAAATGTCCGCTTAAAAGAAAGGATAATGTCTGATTCGAGTGTACCGGGAAGAGGGCAAATGTCAAAATGGCAGACACAGCAGAAGGAAGGCGTGCTTTATGACCCGGTGCGTGTGGAGTTTGAGAGCAAGCAAAACCATCCCAAGTCCAGGGAAGAGAGCAGTGGAAAGCTGGGGACCAGCTGGCAGAGACGGGGCACCAAGGGAATTTGCTTGACAATAGAGACACTCATATCTGGGTCTGAATAATGCTGGCATATACATTTGCCAGAATTCGCAGGACAGTTCACTTCAGAGTAACAAAAGGCAACCATAAAAAAAAAAAAAAAAACTGTCCCAGAATATACAGGACGCCCATGATGTCATGGGAAAGGAAGGGCTCTTTCCATACAGTAACAAGTCCTTCTTGGCTGCTTGAGCAATTGACAAACACATGAAATGTCAGCTAATCTCGACAGCTCCACAACCCGGGCACGGCTTTCTTCGTGCACACGCTGTCTGTCTTTTCAAATGTTTACGGAGTATTTACAAAGAGTCGTCCTTTGGGTGGCAGTTGTAATTAGGGAAACTGGCAGAGAAAATTAACACATACCATAAAAGAGGGATAATTAGGCCTCTGCCATATACAATATTATTATCAAATGGCAGTTGCCCTGGAGTCCGATTGGCTCATACACACTGGCCTCGTAAGGAAGCTCCTCCCTTCCACATTACTCTGGTTATGAAGCTGCCACGTTCCACGGATGATGGGCCATATGGTACTTAACATCAGAATGAAAATGAGCTTGTGCTTTTTGTGCGAGATGCTGAAAATTATTAGAAAATCAGAAAGCCTAATTCCCACCAAGTTCCTGAGACCCGCCATCTGCTTCATGAAAAAGAAAGGGGGAGGGTTTTTTTTTTTTTAAGAAAACCATTTACTTATTGTGAAGTGTGAGTATTTGTATGTTTGAAGAAACAGAGTGGGGGGCGTGGGCTATAACGGGGAGCCAGAGCAAGCCCATTTGGCAGGGCCGAAAGAGCTGTCAGCTGAACGTGGTGGGAAGGGTCTGGGGAGCGTAATTATGGAAGTCGTCTACTCTGGAGGCGGTTTCTCAGGACCACATGTCCCCTCTACATAGGAGCAGCTCGGACTCACCGATCTTTTGCAAATCTGCAAAATCACTATTTTGTAGTGAGGAGGGGCTTCCCGGGGTCCTGGTGTCCCTGAGAGTCTGGCCTCTCTGTAGAGTGGATGGCGAGAGTGAAGAGAGGGGATCAAGGAGCCGGAGGAAGTCAACGATGGGGATGCCAGGAAAGCTTTCTCAGGGAAGCTGCAGCTGTGTGGGAGGGGGCTCTGGAGAGGAGAATGTGAGGGGTACCCACCCCTTGCCAGGCTGGAGCTCCCGAGACCCATGGCCAGTTGTCTTCAGGAGAGCTCCAGGGTCTGTCTGGACAGACGTCAGTGAACCAGCGCGGCCTCCTCATGACCAAGGTCATGAGACGCTGTCTTAACCGAATGTCACATTTGAGTGGCTGCCAGGGACCTCTATGCTGTGTGTCCAGGAGGGTCTAACACACCCTCCTCCTTCAGTTTATTGCATTTATTTATCCGTCCTCTTGTGTTTGCGCCACAGTTACCAGGTCCACTGGAACAGCCTCAGGCAACACTCATGGGATCCGGTTAGCGGCTGGATTTCTCATCTGTAACCCCAAGAGACACTCAGGAAGTAGACTTCGGGCCAACAGCTTACCTGAGCCCTCAATATAGCAGTGATTCAGTGGTTCAGTGGGAGAAGAAAGTTTTCAGGCCCCAGGGGACGCCACATCGATAGCATTACATGGTCAAGTGCTGGTCCAGGCAGGCATTTCTTGGATGTCACCCAAAGGGGTTTCATTAGAGGCCTCCCAGCAGAGACTCTCCTGTAAGAGGCCGCCTTCCTGAGGGATGCAGGGGTCCTCTTGAAGCCAAGTTCAGGGTTCTGGGAATGCGCTTGTGACCTGGCATCCAGAAACAGCGGTGCTGCAGGGAGCCCCCATTCTCCTCAGTCCTCAAACACGCTGTGTGCAAAGCGGCTCTGTCAAACAGCAGACAGGAATTTCTGCGTCTGTTTCTCAGAATGAACCAGGCACACCGTTGATCTCAGGATTTAGGGCTGGAGACAGGCAGATCAAGGCCACCTTGGTCAATCTAGTGAGTTCCAGGACAGCCAAGGCTACATAAAGACCCTGTCTTGGAAGGAAGGAAGGAAGAAAGAAAGAAAGGAAGGAAGGAAGGAAGGAAGAAAAGAAAGAGGGAGGGAGGGAAGGAGGGAGGGAGGGAGGAAGATACCAGCCATCCTCTATGGAGGGAGGGCACACACTGCAGAACCAGCAGGAAGAGTCACCAGTCACCAGAGTCTTGAGGGCGTGGCAGGACTGTGGCTCTCTTTCCCTTCAAGTCCCCCAACTCGCCACACACAAGTGGCAAGGCCGTCTGGCCAGCCTCCTGGAGTTCTACCAGTCTCTGCTGTATGGGCTACAGCCTCCATGGGGAGAGCATGGCACCAGGCTACTGTGTTGACACTCAGGGGGACGCTTCAGGCTTCACACTTAACTCCTGAGAGCTTAGCTCAGGAGATGTGCACCCCGCTGGGGTGGCAGGTGGCAGGTCCTGATGCTCCCAACAGCAACAGCCTAGCCTTTTAGTCCTTGGGCAGGGTTCAGCAGAAGGCCGTGGCTAGTTCTAACTTCATTGTGGAATTATCTCCACGGCCGCAAGACAGCTTCCAGAGACTCAACAAGCCAGGACACAGGGTGTGCAGCCTGCTCCTGGAGACACATCACTGGACATCATGGTAAGCAGCGAGCGGTGGCCTCTGTTCCTAGATTCATTTTTTAAAGACTTTATTTGTTTATTATATATGTATTTTTCTGTCTACAGGCCAGGAGAGGACACCAGATCTCATTACAGATGATGTGAGCCATCATGTGGTTGCTGGGAATTGAACTCAGGACCTTTGGAAGAATAGTCGATGCTCTTAACCTCTGAGCCATCTCTCCAGCCCCTAGGTTCATTTTTATAAAGAAAAAACAATTTGTACTTTTAGTAATTTCTTGGACCTGATGTGAAGTATGTACCCTTAGTCTTCCAATGTTCAATTTAACACCTTTGAACCTTTCATCTAACAAAAGAAACTTCCTATTCAAAGTGGGGCCCCACCTTCTGAAGATGTAAGATTGGAACTCCAGCTCCCACAACCCCTGTATGCACTCTACCAGCCTCTGGCTGCTCAGTTTTTCCTCCACCAGGAAAGGGTGATAGCTAGTACTCAGTGACTAGAGAACCGCAGAAAAGCCACAGTCAGCTCCCGAGGGCCACACCCACCTGCAGATACCCACAGGAAAGCTAGGCCTAAGGTGGCATGCTTCATTTTCCAAATTTTCTCTCCTTTTGTGTTCTAGTATGGATTCATCAACACCTGTCTGCAGTCTCTTGTGACGGAGAAGTTTGGTGAAGAGACATGGGAAAAACTGAAGTAAGTGCATCAAAAAAGAGTGAAGTACCTCGTGAGCGTCTACGTGGTCCGCTGTTGTACATCAGTAGGAAGGTGAAGCACCCTGTGGGCTTCCACGTGGTTTGCTGTTTGTTTTCTTTCGTTTTGAAGGGTTCCAGTATTTTACTGATTGTTTTTTTGGTTTTTCGAGACAGGGTTTCTCTGTGGTTTTGGAGCCTGTCCTGGAACTAGCTCTTGTAGACCAGGCTGGTCTCGAACTCACAGAGATCCGCCTGCCTCTGCCTCCCAAGTGCTGGGATTAAAGGCGTGCGCCACCACCACCCGGCTATTTTACTGATTTCTTGATGAGAGAGTCAATTGAGTGGATAACTGTACCCTTCTAATTCTCAGGGAGTTTTAGTGACTTGGAGACACTTCAACATACTAGCTAGATACAGAAAAAACTCCTTAAACCATATCTGGGTTTTGTGCAACTGTGTCCATGTGTGAGTATGTGGTTACATGTGTATTGTTTGCATGGAGAGGTCAGAGATCCATCAGGTATCTTCCTCAATCTCTCCCACTGTCTTTTTTGAGATAGAATATCTCACTAAACATGGAGCTCACTGATTTGACTAGACCGTTGGCCGACAAGTTCTAGGGACCTGCTTGCCTCTGTTTTCCCCCACCCCTATGCTTGAGTTACCGATGTGTACCACCATGCCCTGCTTTTATGTGGGTGTTAGGGATCCAAACTTAAGTCCTCGTGTTTGTGTGACAAACATTTTACTGACTGAGGCATCTTTTCAGCCCCCCATCTTCTCTATTCCTAAAGTAAGCGTTAAAAACAGGGTCCCCCAGATGTTGATAAGGATTCACAAGATGCTTGCATGAATTTCATGAATGAACTTCCATTGCACTCTTGTCTCTCTATTCTTATGTATCTCTCTCCTAACGGTAGGATAAAACTCAGGGCCTTGGACATGCTAGGTCCTTAGCGCTGGCCTACACCTGCTCATTCACCCTTTGTCATCCCTGATGAGAGAGCAAATCATGGGGAGAGGAAAGAGGGGGACAGGGAGGGAGTAGGAATAGAGCTCAGAGTCCTGGATGTGTCAGGCAAACACACTACTACTACTAAGCCATAGTGATTGGAAGCATCACCCCAGTCCCTGGTATCCATCCTAGGGGCGCAAATGGTGTGGAATGCTCCGTTTCAAACTCCCTCCCCTTCCCCCCAGAAGTTGCCTTGGTCCAGACTTGACCTCTGGGAAAGCCCACCAGATACTGACCCCTCCCGCAGGCTGTTTAGGCTCAAGCCAGGAAAAAGGAACACATGGTCTTGGGGTTTACATGGACTCCCCTCTTTCTTCCCCACCCCCATGCTCCAGTGCCACCTGGGAGTGCTGCATTTATTAAATGTGGGCATCTTTAACTCGGCCTAATCTGGTCTGATCTGAGTTATTTTGCATGGGCAGAGAGGCTCATCTTAAGATTTTTCCTAACACATAGCCTCCCGCCTTCCGAATTCTTCAGATAATTCTTAGTTTTCCCTTCCTGACTTCATCCAGGAGTTTCTTCCTTGATTCTGCCATTTACAACTCCAAATATTCCCTCGTTCAGTTTCTGTAATCTTCCTGGCTCCACACCTTCCAGTGTTACAGATTGGGGTCTAAAGGTCTCAGAAACCACCCAGTCCTCTAGAAGCAAAATGAGTGCAAAAATACGGAAGATAATTGGCTTCCCCAGTTAATCAATAACAGGTCATTTAAGACCACCTGGCACAGCTTCGCTTATTAAATCCCCCAAAATTTTACATGATGATAGCCAATTCTAGTTAAGTAAGCAGAAAAAAAATGGGAACTTGCCCATTGGCACTGACGGTCAGTGCAGTCCCGGGAGTCGAAAGCCCTGAAGATGAGCACACGCGTGATGCCGGAGCCGGCGTGTGAAAATCTGCTCTCTGCAAAGTATATAATCTTGTCCTGCATCGCACATGTGCGCATGTATGTGAGGAAAGATATGACATCGCCTTATGTGGAATAAGTTAGAAATTAAATTCTTTGGTTGTCAAAAACAAGTCAGCCAACAAATGGAATGAGACAAAATTTGTACCGTTCTATGTGATGCTTACAGCGTCTGTGAGGTTCACTGTCAAACTGTGGGACGCTATTGGGTTAAAAAGACCAAAGAGACAAATTAACTCATGTAACTACCAGATCAATCACACACAAAGCAAACATGTAAGACAAAGCTCAAAACAAGTAATAAGTGAATTTGGATTTTCTCTCAATACCTGTGAGCCAAATTCCCCCATCCCCTTTTTTCTATTTAACTTTTAAGAGGTTTTTCTTATTTTTTATTTAAACAAACCTAAAATGCTTAGTGCAATTTTTTCTCTCTACCTCCAGTTTCAAGTAAAGAAAAGCTGAGGAGGGAGTGCGTTACCTGTTAGCATGGGCTAAACTGAGGTGGAGGCAGGCACGACCCTGGGCTCTGTGGGCGCCTGCACTTGGGTGTTTGAAGGATCTTCCCGATCCAAACCAGCAATCATTTAGACCAAATATTTTCACTTCAAAAAGAAAGCAATGAAACTAACTAACTAAATAAATAAATAACCTGAGGCTTGGGCGGGCTAGGTAACCTGACTGACACCAACCTGCAAGTCAGGGACTAGGCCAGGAAACAAATATCAGCTTCAGTTTTGCCTCCCAAGGTGGGTAGGGGTAGGTACATGCATGTGGTCACCTGTAAGGGCCAGAAAAGGGCATTCAATCCCCTGAAGTTGAGACTGTAGGTGGCTGTGAGTCTTCCAGTATGAGCGTTGGAAACCAAACCCTGGTTCCCCGGAAGAGAAGCAGGTGTTCACTGCTGAGTCCTCTCTTCAGTGCCAGCATCCTATCTTCAAGGGCTCCATTGGGGAGCTGCCCCGGGGAGTACTGCCTGGATGACAGAGACTTTGTTTATAGCCATCGTGTGATGGAGGGCGAGTGTGGGGAGAACACGGGGAGAAACACCTCCTCCGCTGAGGACTTACTTTGCAGCAGACACCTTTTTATCAAAGCCTAACAAATACCCTGGAGAGCACATTGTTGTTTCCCCTTCCCTGAGAAGGAAACTGAGCCCTGGGAAGGCCCTTGTTGGAGGCTGTGTAGTAGATAGGCCCGACTAGTCTAGCTATGAAAAGAAAGCAAAAGCACTCTCTTTTAACCTACGCTTGTCTCCGGGTGACAACAGAGGAAATCTCTGTAAACACGCATTTACTGACCTCCATTGCTCTGTCTGGTGCTGTGGAAACACTGCAGGCCTAGTGAATCCAATAAATCAGTCACCCAGCCGATTTCACCATCAGCAGAGACCTTACCTTACAGACCTGGAATGTGGAAAGCAGGGCCTCACTGGTCCACAGCTCATGGGACGCTGAGACCATTGTCCCAGCACAGAATGGACATCCGTCAGTCACCTAAAGCTCTATGCCCATCTATCTCCCAGAAGATCTATGCCTGGGGGTTCCAGCCTTAGGAGGAAGAGGGGAGACAGTGAGCTCTTGCAGGCTATGAGGTGACCACTGAGTAGCGAGAGGAAACTCTGTGAGGAGCGATGTTAGTCCCAGAAGTTACTATATTGGGCTGTGAGTCTATATAGTTTAGGGCTACAGTTACTGGAGGGTCAAAGGTCAGAAATACGATCTACAGTCCACATGGCCCCGGCCGAGCATCTAACCACTCAGTGAACCAGGTGTCTTGTCATGAAAGAGTGCCCATTCCGTGTAGGATTATTGCAGGTCCCGAACGGGATGTGTAAGTCAGACACCCAACTTGCAGCAAGCACCCTGCAAACACTAGCTGCGGTCAGAAGTCATGGTTTGTTGTCAGTTTCTTTTCAAGATGGAAGCCTTGGGATTGGGAAATGGAGGGACCCTAGGGTGTGCAGTCTTCCAGACCAGACTTGAGTTGAGGCAATGCTGTTCAGATCTGTGTGTTCATGAGTCACTTGGCCCCATTCCCTAGATCTCTGATTCAGGACGAGAGAGGAATAACATGCCCACCCTCTGTGGTTGAGGAGAGGGCTGAGCAGAACAACACACCGAGGAATCTTGGAGGAACTTGGCCGTGTTCATCCCGCCTCCAAACACAGGTGCGGAGGAGGCCGCCACACCCAACCCTGTCAGAAACTGTCCCACTGCTCTGGTCACTGTGTCTCCACAGCCCCTTCCTTGTCCAGAGGCAGGGTTTCCTAAGGCCAGCACGTGTTGACGGACTCTTCTTTCAACCTGATCACCCTGGTGTCCAGTGCAGGCCATCATAGCCAGTGAGAGGGAAAGACTGAGTTTTGGGCCAACACTTGGTACCGTCTCATTTCCTGATTAGGACTAAGCTTGGCTGCCATTGTCAATCCTGCCTAGGAGAAAGGGAAGTTTTGGAAACTGCTAACACAGCCACCAGGGATTCGCTGAAGTCCTCAGAAGCAGAGGTAAACAGCAATATGCCGGCTGGCATCTGAGATGCACCGTCTAAAGCAGGCCTTGCACCCTCCCTTCCATCTCAAGGCTGCATTGATAGCATGGACAGACTGATTGGCTGAGCATCCCAAATCCAGGACGAAAGTGGGTTTATTAGTTTATGTGCAAACATACGGTAAGGACTTCCCTTCTTTGGATCCTTGGTGTGACTCATGATAGGCATCATGTCATTTCTTTGTGTCATCTCTTCCCACACCACTCTAAGTGGACAGGTTTCAGCATTTCCTGACACCAGAAAACCATGGATTCCAAATGATAAAGGCCTTTAAAAGAGGAGCATGGGATAATTAGTTGACTGACAACTTGATCGTATTACAAAATGCATAGGGCAGGGTTGAGGCACGCTTTTGGGTGTATCTGTGAGGATGTTTCCAGAGGGGATTAACTGATAGAAACTCCACACTGAACATAGGCGGTGCTGTTCCCTGGGCTAGGGGCAAAGACCAAATAAAAAGGGGATAAGGGGCTTGTGGCCTAAACATCTTCATTCATTTCCCTCTGACTCACCCAAATGTGAGCA